GAGTTGGACAACAATCCAGCTGCCGACTCGTAAATATAAGCCCACCCTTCAGATAGCCCATAGGTGCTGCACGGCTGTATGAAGGTTTTATTCCTTTTTTTTTTTGCTACCCCCCTATTTCTCTTGTAGGCATCCCCCCACTACACCCATTTCTTGTGATTTATAGTTCCTGTCTATCTTGGCAATCTACACGGGCTCATTATCAACGGGTGCTTCATGATGGTTGCCCAGGGCAACGCGGAATCGTCCACGCATGCGCAGTGTAAACAGCCATTTTTGTAGGAACTGGATTTTCTGATTTTCCCCCTTTTCTTTTTCTTTCTTTGTACCCCCATACCCTGCTTTTCTCGCTCTTTGTTTCTTCTTATTATTGTTTCATTTAACGCGCTTCTTTAAGGATAGATTTGGGGACCGTATATGAGTTTAAATAAAAGTGTCAGAAAACTATCAAATGTGAGTTTAACTATAGAACTGACAACGTCACAAATACAATGTAAAGAACAGATAAGTATATGAATTATGTAGCCAACTTTTTTGAAAGTAAAAACACAATTTTTAAAACTAACATTTTTATTCTTTTCCGCTTTATTCCTCCGTATTATACACATTTCAGAGACTTCATGGAATTTGGATCTGTTTGGATATCATATCTTTGGATCTATTTAAAAATCTATGAAATGTGTGTTTAGCTTAAGAATTTGTTAGCATATTCTAGATCTTCCTAAAAAAATCATCAACAAAATGGCGCAATTAGAACAAAACTGAGCCAAAAAATACGAAACGTGAGTTTTAAGATGATATTCTGGAATAAAGGAATTAATGTTATTCTTGGACTACAGCATGGAACAGTTTTAGAGACTTTTTTCTTTTCGATCAAACTCAACCGTCAAAGGAGTAAAAACGTAGGAAAAAATTCGGAAATATTCTTTTAATCGTCTTTATTTAGTTTCACAAATGAAACACATAAAACACAAGATAGACAGTCAGTCAACAAAGATTTAAGAATTGTTTTTATTCTATGCGAATAATGAAATATTTATAGTTCGGGAAATATTTATAGCTAAAAAAGTGCTTATATTTTCTATCGATTTCTTTGACAAAATTATGCATATACAATTTTACAAACAGCATTATTTAAAAGGTAGTTTATCGTGCATTTGTCTGTTTTTCAGTTTTTGATGCTTTGTTTAAGCCTAATTTGCATTAAGAGAATTTATCCGCATCATTTAAATCGGTTTTCATGAGTTTAAACAATAATAAAACTTAATTTTAAGGAATCTAAAAATAGGCAAATATGCAGTGTTAAATTACCCATCTAATATTAGCAATTAAATATCTGATAATAAAAAAAAGAAGCCGCAGTTTAAGTTCCTCACCCTTGAAGCAAAGCTATTATTTCAATTGTATGAATCATCTTGCGTAAAGAATCTAATCCGATTTAATAGCTTCAAAATGGGAAAATAACCTTGATATTTGAAAAAGTGTTAAACTTTTTTTTTTTTTTAAAAAAATCGCCAAATTGGCGGAAGCGTTTCACCAAAATAAAAATTATCAAAATCACTAAATTATTAAATTTTTCAAATTGTCATGATCTCAGATAATACAGTGTCGGAATAACATTTAAAGTATAAAAAAGTTAGATCGCAAAAGCCTTCCATTTTCACTTTTTCTTTTTGTTGACACTCAGTGCCATTTTCAGAATTAACAAAAAAGGCACTTGATAAAGATAAGCTAAACTTGGCCTAAGAGTCATTAATAATTGTGAAAAAGTCACAGTAGTTACGGATATTGAATACTATTTGCCGTGCTGAAAAAAAAAACAAGAACGAAAAAAAAAAGAGAAAAAAAGAACATTATTTCAAGGGACGACAACAGAGTCTTCGAAAAAACAGACTTCAAATCAAGTTAGCGGTTTAAACCTTAAAATGCAATACAATGCCTACTGATTTGCATAATTTCAAATCCTTGTAACACAAAATATGCTAAAGAAGTACCAAATTGCGGTATGAAGTACCGGCAGCATGGGTGCATCATCCATCATCCATAAAATCAATTTTTACCGTAAAATAACACAGGGTGCGTAGCCAAATTATTCAACAAAAAATAAGCACTTTTTAAGCACCCAAAAAATATTTCTAAGCACTTTAAAAAACATCATAATTAGACAGGGTTGGAAAGTTTTTGACAATTGACGGTTTTAGCTTGTTTTAACCGTCAAGTCAAAAAAAGAAAAACCTTTTGGCATTGTTTTTGACAATTGTCAAAAATCATGAAATTTTAAATCATGTAAAACGAATGGCGTTTTCATACGCTACAGACTGACAATACGCCGAAATAGAGTGGGATTGAATCAATTGTGAAAACGTTGAAAGGAACGACATGAACTGTGTCTTTTTGCATAATTCGAAGGGAAAATCAACACAGTAAAGGAAAAATCTCATTTTGAAAAAGCGTAAATTAAGCACTTTTTGAAAACACCCAATGAAAAAAGCACCTTTAAGGGCTTTTAAAAAACGAAAATCGAAAATAAGCACCTTTAAGCACTTTTTACAAACGCTACGCACCCTATAACAAGCCATAAATGTTATCATAATATTTCTTTAATTAGAGTGATTTTACGGTAATTATTACTGTAAAAGTTACGGTATATCAGATTTTTTGTTCCGTAACATTGTACCGGTAAAAATAGATGTACTGGCACTCAGAATGCCGATACTTTTTACCGTAATTTGATTCTGAATTTGCTCTGAGTGAAAAGCAAATTCAAAAACTTATACAAGATAAACAAAACGGTGCAACAAAATTTGGTAACTAAATTGGTACTTCAACCACAATTATTGATTAATTACATTTGATATTATGTCACAGATAAAAGAATGGTAAACAATAACTAGAAATTATACAGAAAAAAAATCTTCTATTTTTCTAATAAGTAGTAGTTGTTGTTGTAGTTCATTTACATCGCACTAGAGCTGCACAATGGGCTATTGGTGACGGTCTGTGAAACATACCTGAGGATGATCCGAAAACATGCCATCACAATTTCGATCCTCTGCAGAGGGGATGGCATCCCCGCTTTGGTAGTCCGACGACCTGCACGCGAAGTCGAGCACTTTACGGTAGAACAGTTTAACGAGGACCAATACCTCACACCTTCGGTCCCTACGCAGACTGAACCAAGTGGTCACCCACCCGCACACTGACCGCAGCCAGTGATGCTTGACTTCGGTGATCTGCTGGGAACCGTGTCTTAACGATCAGTCCACTGCGAGACTATTATTCTCATAAAGGAAGCATTTTATTATACTTAAAATTGCCGAGCTCAGAGGATTGAAATCTATTACTGTAGATAAAATCTTTAAATTTAATGCATACATTTTTCACTCTTAAAATAAAACACGGCATACACAAGATAATAAACAAATCGATGAAACAGAGATTGTGCAGCTTTAACCATTGTCATAGATTTAGTACATTTGATTTTATATCGCAAAAAAAAAAGAATACCAAAAATGGCGAAAAAATAAATTACACAGAAAAAAAACATTATATTATACTACTAAGGAAATAAAGAATTTAATTATTACGCTTGAACTATCCAAACACCAGAAATATCCAAAGAAAATATCATTAAATTCATTAAAAAAACAACCAAAAAAAACTTTCACGAAGTAAGGAAAAGAGAAATAATTTGAAGAACAGTCTAAAAACGCATATCTTAAATGCGGACAAAATACCGCCATATAATTTCCTATTACACGCAGAATGTCCGAAGCAGATGACTTATAATTTATAATCTTACTTTTCACTTAACTTTGAATCTCCCAGAAAAGAATGCAGAAGAAGAAAAAAAAAATGCTAAGAAGTTATTTATACTTAAAGGAAAGAAAAAAAAAATCCCGTCCCCACTCACACATTAGTTTTAACATTAAGTTTTTCATCACTTTTCTTTGAACATTAAATTTTTTCCCTCGTTTAATTTCATTTTTTCACAGCGCCTCACCCCACACAAATTATATTCACAAAAGCAACAAAATACATTCCTACACTTACAATGAGTTTTTTTTTTCCACTTCTCTCTAGGCTTCCGAATGTGCAATTAACCATAAATTATTAATTGTGTTTTTTTATTATCACAGCACTTTGAGGGCGCTACCGTAACGGTGAAAAAAAAAGGGAAAAAAAATCCCTACCTTTCGCTAATGGCCGCGCCTCGTAGGTATGCACTATTATTGCTAATTGTACTTTTTTTTTTAGTTACGCTTCTTTTCCTATTTAACTCGATAGTTTTTTTTTATTTAAGAGAAAAGGTTAGAAAAAAATGAGAAAAAAAGTTATTCTGTTGTAAGCAACGGAAATGTCTAGAGCACATCAACATTAAAAGGGTAAAAAAAAAAAAGAGAGGGAATAAAAAATAAAAAAAATACTTGAGCTTGGAGAGGGAAAAAATTTCGCTAAGCTAAAGTATGTTAAGCGATATTCTAACAAATGAAGCTAATATGCGTAAGGATTTTTTGTTGGCGAAAAAAAAAAAATTTGCCCCTGTACCCACTGTTGCTTTTAATAGTCATTTGGCGACATAGAAGACCTGCTTTAATCGATATATTAATTGGAATTGCTTCTTTAAGAGATAAGTGAATTATTATCTCGCAACGATTTTTTGAAGTACGTAATTAGAATAATAATTAATATTGGCATTAATGTCTTAATATATTCGGGGAATGTATATATAATTATCTCTAATCAATATGATACTTAAAAACAGCTGCACAACATCAATTAAAACAATATTTTTAAATAATTTTGTAAAAAAACTGTAAGTAGATCAACGCTTTATTCTATACGAAAAACCGTTATAGTTTCGTTTTGATAACGATAAAGATGAACTTAATAAACTTAGTATTAAAAAAAATTCGATAAAACAATAGACAACGTGCGATGGGCGGAGCCTCCGAACTGTTTCGTTTTCAATGTAAACATTTGCCTGAATGTTTGTATCTGAGACATAGTAACTTCGTAATGAGTTCTGCTTCTCCGTGCGTCAGGAAGAAAATACACTATCGAGATATGGAAAGTGGTTTCGTTGGATGTTGGACAAGATGGAGGTAAATATTTTTATTTGGTCTAAAAAGTTGGTTAAGGGTAAAACTTTCTGCGTCACAAAATGAAAAAGTCACATGACTATTATATTTTATCACGGCTATGTTGAGGGTCTCGATCCAAAATTTCGTCGTGTAACAGAATGTCAACTTTTTAAACTTACTATCTGTAATCACAAGATAACTAGTAAATAACGTAGTAAGTACAATAATACGTATAACATCAACAAAATCCAAATTAGCGCGATTTTAAGGTGTTTTTCAATTCTATACACCTAATAGTAATAAAATAATGCATCATGAATTTGCCATTAAATAAAAAGGCAACATTTAAAAGTTGTACTTTTAAGAAAGTACAAGTTACAAAGTACTTTTTTTCGAATATTCGCTACTAACAGCAAAATTTAATAATTCTTCGTAATTTAGGAGAAAAAAACTATCTTTAAAAAAAAAAAGAGAGGGAAAACAAGCCATAATTTTTATTACTCAACCGTGAAATCGTAATCTTGACTACGAAGCGTAACAATTATGGATAAATCGTAATAGTTGGCGCCTTTGCTATAAGCTTGGAGAACGCGAAAAACCCATATTTCGACTTCCATTATAATTTTAACTTATATTTTATGCTAAGATCTATACTATACATCCATATGACTAGAATAGCCGAAAAATTATTAGTAAACCAGGTAAAATAGTTTTAAAAATCTATGTTCTATAACAATGAACTCAATATACTATATGTAGATAAAGATGCATTGCATCTAAATATTAAGCAACAAATGAGTATTTAAAAAAGAAATTCTCATTCTTGAAAAGGTTTTTAATAAATATTTTTTTCAGTAAATAATTTTTGCATTTAAAAAAAAAAGTCAAATTTAGACTCAAATCTAAAAATATCTACTTACATTGCGTCTTCTGTTAACATAGAAAAGGATTTCAGACTTACCTATAAATAAAATAAAATATTTTAGTACATCACATCATTCAACTAGTATATGACAGATTTTATTATAATAAATCAATAAAAGAAAAAGAAAAAAAAAACAGAACTTTAAACATTTTATTAGGACTAACTTTCCATTTCGGATTTTTTTTCTTTCTTTTTATGACTGTTAATTGTTTTCAATTCCTAATCTGAAAATTCCTTTTGCAGTAAATTAATCAATTTCTGGAATCCGGGTATTATCCTGTCCCATTATGATCCCAACTGAAACACAAAGTTTATCGTCCCTCTTTGGGACAGTTCCAAAAGTGCACTATAAGCAAATAGGAATTTTTTTTTCGAGATAAATTTGAATAAAATTAGTTATAAGTATTCACTTCTTTTGAATTTTATCTTAGCATGTTTTAAGAGAGTTCGAACGATATTGCATTTTTAAATTTTAAATTCAATTCGAATCTGATTTTCAGCAAAATTAAAAAAAAAGTTCTAAGTTTGATTTATAAATAATATTTTTGCGTCATAAATTGAAATTAAAATATTCAGAAAATATTTTTATAAACACAATCAGAAGAATACTTTTCATATTCTTACAATCCTACACACCTCTCAGAAAAACCTGTTAACCCTATGACGAAGAATTTTTATTAACCATATTTTTCATACATGTTTCATTATTTTGATTAAATTTAGAACAAAATAAGTGAAAAATATTATATTTAGCTTCTTAATAATTTATGGTTATGAAATACAGCATAAAAAAACTGCGCTAAAGGTAAAATCTTTCTATCACTTTCAAGCAGTAATTTTTCAAAATTAGGCTTTAAATGATAAAACATTCAACTGTAATATCAGTACCTTAAAAATAATAAAACGTATATTTCCTGCAACCATAATAAAGTATAAAATTATATTATGCTTCTATTTCAGTAGAAGTATGGTATCATGGTTTAATTAATTCTATTATAATACAGTTCAACTTGGAACCATTAAGATTGCAATAATTTTGAACGATATTATGGTTTAAACACTGCAAAATTTCTAAAAATGTAATATTAAATTTTAATAGTTCTTCGGCAATTTGAAAATCGTTTCTAAATTCTACCAACTTCAAACACTTCTCAGAAAAAAGCTTTTAAAAAATAAAATTGACATTAATTTATATTGTGATAATTGTGATTTGGGAATGAATGGGTCAATTCATAATTATGGGTAAATTAAAATTATTCATTTAAAGTGAAATACAGTCTCACAAAAAATCGGTTCAAAGTCAAACAGTAATATCGAATAATGCTTTAAACTGTAATACCATTCAAATTTCCTGCAACTGTAAGTTGTCTTTGTTTTAATTCAAGTTGAATAACAGTATAATTTCATAAAATTTAAAAAGAAAAAAAATTTCATAACATAGTTTATCTTCCTAAGATGGCAACAAATTTGAACATTATGGTTCAACAAAATCGAAAATCTCTAATTTTGTGTATGGGGAATATTTTACAAAATAATCCGTAATTAATGGAAGCGAAGACAAGTAAAGTGATATTTGTTAGAGTCTATTTCATTCTTCAAGTTAGGTAAAAAAAAAAATTATATATATGATATGGTTTTGTAAAGCATTATCGTCTAAGCTTCTATTTCAAAAAAAAAAAAAAAAAANAAAAAAAAAAAAAAAAAAAAAAAAAAAAAAAAAAAAAAAAAAAAAAAAAAGAATGATTATTCCTCTTAAGATTAACTTCTCGTAGAAATGTAAATGGCTCGGAGCGGCCTGGGTTTGCGATTATAAGGATATGAACATAGGCAGTAGTAGCTATATTCAATCAAATGTATTGGTCTGAAATATTAGCATTCTTCCAATTCCCAGTCCTGAATGAACTTTGAAGTTTCATAATCCTCCCACAAACCCAAACGATTTTTTATTCGAATTTTTTGTAATATCTTCTGTCAGAAACATACTATTATTTGTCCTTTCTTCACAGTCTGACTATTGTAAATTTTTTTTTTTTGGAACATCTGCTCAAGGAAGGAAAAAAAAGTCGTAAGAAAAATTCATATGCATGAATATAAGAATCGGTAATGGAATAACTTGGGTTGCTTAAAGTAACAAAACTAGTAAATTATTGAATCAACCAATGTACTTTGAGAAAAAATGTAACATAAAAATTAGTAAATTATTAAATCAACCGGAAAAGAAAAAGCATCAAATTTTAAAAATTATCAAGTTAGCCAATGAACTGTGTAAAAGAAAGCAAGATCAGAATTGTCAAATGAACTAAATAATGAGAATGAAAACGAAACGCAAAACTAACCGAATTATTTTTTAAACTAATGAATAAGAAATGCACAAAAAAATAAAATTATTAAATCAAGGAATATTTACACTAAGAGAAAGAAAGTGGAAATAAAAATTACTGAATCAACCAATGAGAGAAAGGAGAAAGAAATGGTAAGAAATAATTATAATATAGAATAACATTTATGAAAAAAAATAAGACAATTTTGAATTCCAGATTTTTTTTTCATTTTTCAAAACATCAGACGATAAAATTATTTCGAAATTCGATGTATCTCAAACAAGATGTTAAAAACGATTTTTAATTTTTAAAAAAAATTTTTTATGAAACTGCTGCAATTTTATTTTTATAATGATTTTTATAAAGTACATTATTGCTGACTTTTTATCTAATGTGGAAATATGTTATTATATTACTGAAAAATAAAAAATAGGATTTGTGACTTTTTTTTCTTCTTTTTTTTTCTTTCCTCCAGGCCCTGGGCATGTACCTAGGTTATGAAAAACCCTTAACCATATAGCCCAAGACTTGGCCACTAATCCAGCTCCACTCCAGCCTACATAACATGATATTTAAAAAAAATATGTATATATATTTTTTTTTTACTGAATGTGTGGAATTTAAGAAGAAATAAGACCAAAAAAATATACATGTGAAATGAGAAATTAGTAAAAAGAAATGAATAAAATAAATTAATAAGAAAGAAAGAGAAAAAAAAATATAGCGTTAAAAAAGACTAATAGAGATGAAAGTATTACTAGATATAGAGAAATCTTAATAAACAAATATATATATAAATGTATGTCTTTTTAGTAGGGATGTGTATAGGCTTGATTGGGTTGACGTAGCTCTTTTAGATCGTGCAAGTAAGTTGGACAGGAAGGTGAGGAGGCTCTGTGATTACAGTCCAGATTTAAATTGGAGTCTTGGTTGGATGAGTGACAGTTTATGCAGAATTCTTCTTTTTCTGTGCAATTTTCGATATTATGACCTTTGTATCCGCATTTCTCACGATAACAGTATGACTCAATACATGTGTTTTGGTGATGACCTATTGTCTGGCATTTTCTGCACCTTAATAAAACCAGTCTTTTTTTAATTGTGCAACGTTGTAGACCAGCGTAGAAATAATTAAGATTCAAAAGCTTGATGGAGAGTTTTCTGTTGACTCTTATGATGATGTGTCTCTTAGAATTATCTCTTTTATGTGGGATTTCTTTGGTCAGTTTGATGATATCATAGGCAGGGTTGAAATTGCCATTGATTTTAATCAAGTTAATAATCTCAGTTTCTGTGAATGTGACAGGTGTGTTAAGAAGAATTAGAGAGAACAACTTTACGTCTTTGTCGTGATATTGGATGCCTGTCTTTTGTAAGGTTGAGAGGACCGTTTCCTTATGTTGATTGTTATGAAACTTTAGTTCTAGTATCTTGCTGCTTCTATAGACTTTTTTCACGGGCAGTTTAGGTTCTTCCTGAATCAGCCTTTCCACAATATCAGTTGTGGAGCAGTCTTCTTGTGGTTTTACTATTATTGGTTTTGGTGGTATTATTACTCGTGGAACATCAACATTGATAGAGGTGGTATTTTCTAATTTTTCGAGTCTTGCGTTGATGGTCTTTAGATTCTCTTCAATTTGATTTAGTGGGTTTGAGGAGTGAACATTTAATGAAAAGTCATCAAGTTTTATTCGCATATAGTCAATTTTCTTGTCCAAAGATGTTTGGAAGTTTCTAGAATTTATCAAGTCATGAGTTTCTTGTTCCGAAGTTATCTTCCTTATTTGTTGAATTGCATTGATACAAGCAGATCGTGGTTCTTGCGGAAGGAATATTTTCTTATGATTGCTGTAGTTGATGTTTTTCTCTATTATATGTAGAAGGCGTTCTATATCCGTTTTAGTCTGTGACATGATGGAGGTATTTTTGTTGGTAGAAGTTGGAGTATCACTGATGATGCAGTCGTTGGTTACCGGAGAAGTATGTTCATAGACAGAAGTGAGATCAACGATTACTGAAGGTGATGTATTAGTATCAGGACATTGTATGGTTTTATTATCTTTTCGATGAGAATTTTTTGATCTGGAAGGAGTTTCTGTGAGTGAGATATTATAGTCAACTCTTTGAAAGTTTTGTGTAACTCTGCGTTGGGATCTTGCTGACCTTGCAGGATTTTGAAAATTGTCTGTAACTTGTGAATTAGCCATGAAAGAAGGTAGTCAATATGTAAGCAGAAAGGGTAAATAGAGCTCTTTAAAAACGTTAGTTAATGTAAAAATACAAATTAAAAAGAGTGGCAATGGTGAGTCAAAGCCTGGCCCCTGAGAAAACCCAGAATAGAAGTTAATTGAGAACCGATGCTCCATTGATAAGGTATGTCACCGCCAGAGAAAGGAGGTGTGGGAGGATAAATGCGTATTAGATGTGCTGAAAACCTGATAGAATGCAGGAAACAATGAAGGCGGCTCTAGGCAGAGTGAGGAAACTTAATTGGTTGAAGCAGAATGATCAGTCATTAATGGATACACTGGCGATGGCATACAAGTACTAAAAGTTGCCTAATGAAAATTTAACTAGAAACATATGTGATAATTTAAGACAGTTAACTATATATCAAATTTAGTGCTAAAAAGATAAGATGCAACAGTAGATAACAACTGGTACTAGGCCGGTAAAAGTTATATCAATAAATGTACTAATAAAGGGAGGATAGGCCATCGCTATGTTAACAAACAATTTCTAAGTGCTTAAAAATGGTGAGAGTAAACAAACCGAAGTATAAATAAGTACTACTGTTGATGAGTTGACCTGGGTATTCCATTGGTTGGTAGTATCCAAAATCTTCTGGTAGGCTGATGCAAAATATTGCTAAATGACCTTAAGCTATATATGAGTATGTAAATCTAACTTGAGCTTTGTTATTTGAGAAAAAACATTGTAAAAATGCAAAGAAAAATCAAAATAAAGCACTCGGAGACAATTTTGACAATAATATAATGATACATAATTAAAAAAAAACACTTAAAGATAAATAAAATGGCCCTAATCTATGTAAAAAGAAATAAAAATGAACTAAGACAACAAATGTATGATCGAATCAATTTAATAAAGGTTTGTAAACAATGACTCTGGTATTAACTTAAAAACAGCATGGAATAGGAAAAGCTATTAAAATGAATAATGTCGATTATAAATTTAATTGATTAAAGAATTATGAATATGGTGTGATTTAAAGCACTTAACTGTGTTTGCGATCATAGAAATTGTTTACATTTTGTTATGGGGAATAGAACACCATTAACATGGGAAAGTGATGTCTCTTTGAAATTTAATATAAAGTCAAAGGATGGATGAAAAATTAAAAACAGGGTGGCGGACAATTGAAAACATTTGGGGGAACAACATATAAAAAATTTAGATAGAAATAAAAACGCTAAGATAAAAATTTGAGTGTCCAAAGTCAGAGTTTACAAAATACTAATTTTAACATAGCGATAGCCTATACCTAGGAGCGTCAAAAAATTTAAAGATACTGATAATTAGAGTACCAGACCACTGGAAAATAAAAAGTTAATATATTTGAATAGAGAATCGCATGGAGGATTGAAATGAAATGCTTTAAATTTGAAAAGAGTCGATAAGTTAATGAAAATTTAAGCCAAAGATAGCAATGATTACCACTTGCAGTGGATGACATGTTAAAAGACATGTTAGAGAGGGACCCAGGACGGGCAACTGCCACAGACATCATGTCGAAAAAGGCATCAAATCGAAAACTAAGGACACAAATATTTCTATTACTTCCATTTTTCTTAAGAATAATTAATTTCCTAAGTTTTCGCAAGGAAAATACGGAAAGGATAAAAAGATTTCATAACAAATTTAATAGTAAAAGTTTAGGCAATACAATTACTGAAAAGAAAAATCATCCACAAAATTTAAATGCATAGTTTTTGCATTTAAAGAAAAAAAGTTAAAGACTAGTTTTTTGGAAATTACTATTAGTTACTAAATAATTTTTTTTTTTTAATTTTTTTTTTTTTATCGAAAAATAATTTCTGCTTACATTTACATAAAAAAAGAATTTAATTTAAACTATGAATTTAAATTTTCATAAATACATATTATTCTAAGTTATTTATTTATTTTTACTTCAGTCGAATGGCGTTTTCGTCATTATTATTGCCCCCTCCAGCGATTACACATCTCTTTTTGATAGGGAGGGGGGGGGCATTTAGAAGAGGCGTTTGACCCCAACATTCGGACACCTCTTCACGCCACTGTTTCAAAATCTTTAAGGTTAGATATAAAATATGCATCAATATATTCGTATAAATAAAGGTACATTAACACGGATAAAACACACCGAAAGAAGAAAAAACCGTCATTTACACTTCCTTTATTTACAACATTTACATAAAATACACTTCTCAGAAAACATTTTTATAAGCCTGGTCTCATAATTGGAGTAGTGCACCCCATTTATTGCTTCCAAAATTAATTATTTATTTTCCACCTCTGTCTGATTTCCTTTTTTTATATTATAGTTTTTAGTTTTATTTATTTTTTTCCAGGTAATTCTGAGGAATCTCCATCTTGAAAATTCAGCATCTTCCAACGCGTTTTATTTAATCCTTTGCTGAAATGACGGCCGAACCAATCGAAGGGCTCCCAAACCATCACGTGAGAGAGCAATTGGCGGGAAATGCTTTTCCTCACGCAAACCAAGTGAAGAACACATTTTTCTTTTTCATCTATTTCATGCAACGGGGGTTGTATCATAAGTGCTTCTTATTGTTTTTGTTTTGAAGAAAAATGAGATTTTTACCGCTTTTGCATCATTTTTTAAAAAAAATTTCCCGCGGAGGAAATACGCTATTTTGGAAATAGTTAAGATTTTTTATTTTTTAAAAACTAAAGACGGAATAAGAATGATATTTTCGATTCATACAAGGAATCGTTTATGATTTCCATAAAATTTTAACTGATAAAACGAAACATGAATGATAAAAGTTTACGTTTGTAGATTTAATAAAAATGGATATTATGAAATAGTTTTTTATTATTTTTTTCTTCTAATGATATCTATTATTTTATTAATTATGCAACTTATAAATAAGTAACGAAAAATTTAACTTCAAAGAATGCACTTAACTTTAGCATCTTTCATAAAATGTTCAAGATTTTTTAGTGAAAATATAAGCAATAAAAAAAAGTCGTTTAAAAAATAAATAAAGAAGCTAAATGCGATTTCTATGTTTCTTACAACTAGCAAGCTTTGTCTTTATCTTTTATCCTCGAATTTAGCATAAAAAACTGCAAATAAAATATATGTTGTTGGTTATAAATTTATGCAATTATGTAATCATAAATATGCATATTTCTCTCCCTGCTATATAATGTTTTTTCCCCCATGCTATTATTGTAGTAAATAATTTATTTTTGTGTCATATACACTAACAAGTAAGGTTTGATAATTATAAATGTAAGCAATTATGTATTCATAAATAAGTTCACTTTTTTTATTCAGTATTCTTTTCGAATTTTTATATCATTTATTTTTTTATCAAATGGTTTTTAGCAATTAATATAGTTAGCTATTTATTATCATACGCGCTAAAAAATAAGGGTTAATCGTATTTTTATTTTTCTTTCTTTCTTTTCTTATTTTTAACATTAAATTCGTATTTTAATCATATAAATCGTAAAAAGTATTCGATAACCGTCATTGAACAGCTGACCCAATTTTGAGTTTATGACTACTAATGCTCAAAACTCTGTTGCTTTGTAATTTTGAACCCGATCCAAAAGACAAGAGAACTCCTGGATCAAGTATTGGGAGAAACTTGCCTTCGTGAAGGACTTTTTGATGGAACTAACTCGCATTTGCGTTACATGGAAAGAAAAAACAGGAAAACCTCCCACAGTTCGCCTGCCTGCAAAGGAGCTCTACCCCATGAACCGTCTACCACTAAGGATATATTACGTCAGTACTGTGGTCAATGTGAGCCGGGTGTGGAATTCGAATCGAACACCGCTGGATTCGAACTCGGATGTCCTCATTGGAAGGCGAGCGCTTTATCCCCTGAGCCACCAAATTAAAAAAAAAAAAAGAAGCGATTTTTCGATTATCATTAGAATAAAGGCAATGGGTGGTACAATTGCGAAGGTGTGTAAAGGCTAGGCAATCCTGTCTTAGGCCCTGAGTGTGAGCCCTGTCTTACGATTCATATGTGCATATATGCAGTAGTATGCTGAATTTGCATGCGTAAGTATCGATCGTTGTAGATTAGTAACCCTCAAAATTCTGATTTTTTTAGAAAATATTTTGCTTTTTTTGCATTATAAAATTGTTTTTTCAAAAATTGCAAAAAAGAAAAATCCGATTTTGTTTTCAAGTACGTCACAGCGGTGGGGAATTACTTAAATTAAAGTTGCTCTACAAGGAAAAAAAAATAACACATTAAATATTAAGTAATTTACCTTAAATATTAAGTAATAAATTTATCAGAGGCCACGCTTTCAAACAATGCAGTAAAAAGAAAATGAATTTTTTAGAAGGAAAAAAAAAATCGCCTTCAATAATCAAGATGACCAATCAAAAAACATGTATATTTCCCGATAACAATTAAACGCTTTTTTATTTCGTTTATTTGGACAAAAATAAAAATTAAAATGGGTTGCAAATCTTGTGATGCATACACGAATAAAAAAAGGGGAGCGAGAATTTAAAGAAAAGCAAAAGCATCATTCTTTGATGAGAAAAAAAAATTTGAGAATTTTTTTTTTTGTTTTCTTATTTCTGATTTATTTGCAGTTTTTTGTTCGAATTCTTTCGCAGATTGATACGAACGCTTAAAACCCGTCACTTCGCAGTCATAGGAATTCCGACAATCAATCGTAATTCTTTAAAAGAACGACTTAAAGAAAAAAAAACTGGAATAAAAAATTACAGAAGTACTGGAAAAGCTTTCCGTTAAGGAAAAAAAAATTCGAATCAACATTTATTTCATTCGTTGTTATTGCAGTACTCGATTTTCTAATTTTTTCTCCCTTTTCCCTGTTTTTTTTCTTCCTCATTCCAGTTTTTTACACCACCCAAGAGTTCTTTAATTCCAGACTTTCCCAATTACGGAAAATAGAATAATTTGATAATTAGTAGCGCTCGCGGGAAAACGACGATAATTAGTGGGCATTAATTTAAGGAGGAATAAACGTCAAAATCTTAGAGTTTAGAATTGTTCTAGAATAGATATTTCAGGTACTGAAAAAGGGGCATCTAAAAACAGTATTGAAGAGTACTATGTCATAAAAAGAAGCATTTTCGCATAATTCTTTTTTTTTCTTCCCCCCACCAAGTACTTGAGATGAAGTGTAGTTAAATCAAATTACATAATTAAAGTTTTTTTTTTTTTTTTTTTNTTTTTTTTTTTTTTTTTTTTTTTTGCTGTACACAAATAATTTATTCGGGAGGGATGATTGGATTTATTATGAGTAGAAATATCAAATTCATATTTGTAAGATCATTTGCGTAAATAAATAATCAAAATTAATGACACCAAATATTTGGTTTCAAAAATGCTGAGAGATATCATAAATTTAATAAGATATAAATCACGAGTAAACGACAAAATTATCGAGTTTTCTGGTAATTTGTATTTATTTGCAATCACGTGTTTAATTTTTTTAATAACTAAATATAGCAGCATCAATAACAGCTATAAGAATCAATAAGCATTAATAACGTACACTGAAAGGTGTAAAATTAAACTGCTTGATATCATGCAATTAAGAATAATTATTTTATGAAATTAATTAATCTACAGTTTTATTATTAGCTTTTATTATTTTTTTTATTGTTAGCTTATTTAAATCTTTCTGTATAACAACCAGACTATATTATTGAAACACGACATGAAATATACAATTTGCTTTACACACTTATTACGTGTTATGCATACAATTTTACAATCGAAGTTTATTGGATAATGATAAAAAAATATTTAATTCTTTCTTTTTTTCCACAATTAACATAAAACAAAGAAAGAGAAACACTTTTTGGGTTAATAGTGCTGCTACTTTTTGCTTTCTTGCTGTATGTTCTAATATGATGTTTGATTTCCACAAAATTTATTCCACTGGCTGTTTATTCCTGCAGGTCTGAAACTATTGTGTTCGTTAAAAATTGCATTAAAATTTTTTAAAGCATTACTTTATTTATCTTCGAAAATAAGTTAAATAGGAGCTCTTTTTATTAATAATATCGGATTTTTTTCAGTAACTGATAGTTAGCGAGATGAAGTCTGATATGAAATGTTTGCCGTGATTTAATGTTCGTCGGAAATATGCGTCGCGATTTAGCGCATATTCAAAATAATAATTAAATGATCAATTAAATAAAATATCAATTAAATGATTTCTTTTTAAAAAAATAATAATTAAGAGGAAAGGTTTAGATTTAAAGTGACGTTTGTTGATTTCATAAGCAATTTATATTAATTTTCCTATTTATAAATTTCTTTTTAATTATATGACAATTGCTTTGAGATTATAAAACTGACAAAATAAATGACATTTGTTAAAAACTTAAACGATTACTGTGCGTAATTAAACAATAAAAATAATAGAAATATAAATCGATGACTTTTACCTTTTTTTGTTCATGTAAATAATTTCAAATTAGCCAAATCACAAATAATTAAAACAATAAAGTGGCGCGAGGGTTTACTAAATATTAATACTTAGTAAACATGGGTTATTCGCATGATACAGCTTTATATAAGTTAATCAAAATATTTATACAGCTTTATTAAAGTTCATCAAAATATCTATACAGTTTTATATAAGTTAATCAAAATATTTAAACAGCTTTATGTAAGTTAATCAAAATATCTATACAGCTTTATGTAAGTTAATCAAAATATTTACACATCTAAACATAATTCTCCAATTTCTAATTGGTTTCTTTAGGTCTCGGCCTAGAATAAAACTATACAAAATAATTTCTGATAATTTTCTAATGCAATAAATTTTGGCTAAATTATTTTCTAAATACTTCTATAATTAATTGATAGATGCAGGAATAATAGTATATTAGTACAGTAAACAGGAAATAGAAAAAAACACCTCTCGGTAAAAAACACCTCTTTAACTGTTATATGTTATATTTGTTTGAATGTTTTATTAGCTATTTTTAATGAATTAATTTATTGACAAGGAATTATTATAAGCTTATGGAAAGGAACTTTTCCCACATCATATTATTTAACAAAATTATTAGAATTCTCTATTAGTTCCAAAATCGTTCTAAATTTCAATAACTACATTTTTTGTATTATAATGTTATAATCGTATACAACTAATGCTTCTTCAACAAGACATTTTTTTTAAAAATTGTATTAAGTGAAACATTTCGACATTTTTGTTAATATTAGCAGATGACAAGATTAATTTTTAGAGAGACTATTGTTAGTTGATTCATTAAATAACGCTATTTATTAGCGATGTACCATTAAAAAAATATATAATAATTAAAACTTCATGAACTTCAAATTAATTTATGTACGTTAATTATATTTTAAACAAACTAAGTAATAGTTTGCATTCGAATAAATATTAATTACATTAAATATTGTCTCAAAGGACAGAATCGAATTGGTCATTAAATAGAAATTAAAATTGCGCTATTTTCCGGCCCATATTTTCTTGTACATTTATTTCCAGTGCTTTTTTCGTTATTCACATCCACATACGAGAAAAATGGCAAAATTACGTATATGGTTTAACAGAACATGAGTTTTTAAATTTTCCACGCACATTTAACAAATTAAAGCGGCAAACTTAAAAATAAATAAATAAAAAATAATATTTTATTGTTATCTAGCGTCAAGAATGGAATTTAAGAACATTGTTTTTTCTAAAATACATATTCTTCAATTCCAGAGAATTGTACTTGTACACATTCTGCGCAAAAATCCATCTCCTAACTACGAAGTACAGCACTACTTTTTGGCGTATTTTTTTTAAAGAAAATAAATGCCACGGGGAAAAAA